CAAGATAAACCAAAAAAAAAAGTACCTTTTTTCTTTCACTAAAAGGTATCAAAAAAACCAAAAAAAAGTTTTTTTTTTTTTTTGGTCACTTCACCCAAAATCTTGCCCATTCTCCCCATTAGCTTACATGTTTGCAATTATATCACATAGCAGAATAACCCAAGTATTCAATTATTATTCTATTATGACTGATTAACTTTCAGTCAACCACCTCATTGTTTTGCAAACACATAATCCAACAGGTAATGCTGGTCAAAAACAGAGTATAGATATGAGATATGATATACCATAGGTGCAGATATCACCAAAGATGTTGCAAATAAAGATTCACGCATAGGTTTCAGTTCACATAAAGACAAAACATTGAATAACTAACACTGTGAAACACTTATATTTGACACTTTCAACTAGACTCTCAATAGCAGCACTACTTTATTCTACTTTGTTTCAAACTGAGACCAACACACAAGGTATTCCTTTGCATATCTTTAACTGTTAAATAAATCTCTTCAGGTATGAGTTATACATCTTTTGGAAATAGAACCACGGAAAGCCTGGTTTTTAAATTATTTACACTTACACCCAAGACCAACCTAATTGATGTTGAGTTGAGAAATAATAGCTTTTTGAAGCTACCTGAAGTCCATCAACAGGGAAGACTCAGTGTGAGACCACCACTGGTAGTGTACCACCAACTGTGTAAGTTCAGCAATCTTTACCTGTCAACAAAATCTTAAGCTAATCTAACAATGAGTTGATATACAAAAGCTTTGTAGAAAGCTCACAACAAACAACTCACCTGAGAAGCATACACTACACCAAATGACATCTTTACCCAGGGGTATAGAAAAGTAGTGTGGGCATAGAAAACTATGGGTGAAGTGCTTTTTTATACCCATAGAGATAGTATCCTCTATGCCTAGACAAACCATTCTGTTCTATACCCACGGATGGAAATATCCACATGACCACAAGGCCTGAATTTAAATCTAGACTCAAAGCCCTTCTTGAGTCTTGTCCAATGGGAAAGCATGTTCCATCAGTCATATTGTGCACATGTAAAAGGTGTCTGTCAATCTGTGTAAGATTGTGCATACATACTCACATACATTGCTGAACATGGTTGAGGATCTCTTTTATCAGCATAGAATTGTATTTCAGGATAAAAAAATCAAAAGACACAAAATTGAGATTCTGCGCACTGTAGCACTGCCTTTGGGTCCCAATACATACAGCTGATTCACCGCAAAGAAAATACTCAATTCCTCAATCTCAAATATCTTACATAGGTGTATCAAAAGCATTGTTTATTGGTATAGAAAACTACCCTACCAATAGTTTTCTATGCCCACGCTACTTTTCTATACCCCTGGGTAAAGATGTCAATTGTTGTAGTGAAATGAAAATGATCCCAAACGTAATCAATTGGAAGAAACCATCCCTATAGAATTG